AAACGTGGAGAGGTACAAGGTAGGACTCGTTGCATGTGGCAACGAGCAGATTTTTAGGGTTAATTATATCTTGAATTTCGACGCAGTCATGGAACTTGGTACCGTCAAGGTAGTTTTGGTGCTCTCTTGCAGATGGAAGGTGCCCGAACGACACGGCAATATTCCAAACGCCTATGCAAAATCGACAAATAGAAAGTCTCGACATTTACATGCGATTACCAAGTGAGATGCAAGTCAGTCAAGACGTTTTATAGAACATGGAGTCATGGATACGAAACATTTTGATTTATGGTTAAAGAAGTCTTTGTCGGACTGAAGCAAGCTGAATGACTGTGGATCAAGTTGCTTCACTTGAAGTTGGTTGATTTGGAATCCACGCAGTGCACGACGGACATGTGCCTGTACGTCAAGCATATTGACGAAAGCGTAACGGTTGTTGGTGTGTAGGTCGATGCTTTTCTGGTCACTGTAACTTCGAGCGATGTCGTAAACGACTTTTTCAACAACATGGCGTCCCTCGAGATCAAGGATTTTAGCGTTGTGTACAATTTTCTTGGAATACGATTAATGTGAAGAATGATGTTGGTTACGTTGGATTAAAAAGTGACAATCGACTTGCTGTGTAATTTAAGGTCACGAATGGAGTTCAACCACTATCGGCGACGAGTGCAACGAGGTAGATAATGAAGGTTTGGAACGGTTGATGCCGACAGCCAAGATGGGAATAGTGAGTACCAATGCCTTCCAATGCATTGTTGGAAGTGTCTTGCGAATGGCTCGACCGGATATCTGTTTTGCGGTGCATAGGGCAACTCGGCAAACGCTCAAGCCAACAATGAAAGACTGAAAGATGGAAAATGAAAGACTGGAAGATGGCAAAACACGAGTCGCGAGGTACTTAGAGATACGAAGACGTAAAAGTTGAGCATTGATAGCTCAAGTGGTCCGAAGGACGACATTAAGATTGAAAGCTGGAGTAATGCAGACTTTGCTGCAGACAAGTCCGAAGAGCTGTTTGGTGAGCTGGACATGAAGGTGGTTGGGCCTATGGCGATGCGAATCGATAATCAAGCGGCGATCAACTTGTCAAAGAGCAAGAAGAATTGTCAAGCGCGACGCACGTCGATATTTGTTCTACGTTTATTTTCTGCCACTACGCTCAATCTCAAATTGTACAGCCAAGTTTTTTCTAAGTCGGATGGCTTGATGGCGGATTATTTGACTAAGGCGCTACCGGCACCAATAATTTTGATGTTGCAAGAGCTTTTTTAAGCTGAAGGCCATCAAGGATGACGTCGAGGAGGAGTGTTAAAAGTTATCACTTCTCACAGGTTTTCAAGCGTTCAAGTTCAACTTTAAGACCTGCTATAGGTAGCTTTCAACTTTACCTGATTGCTTACATTTGTGATGGGACGAAGTGATGGGACGAAGTGAGAAGAACGCTACGTAAGCGATCAAGATGTCAAGGTGGATGGGACCGGAGAGACGGTCGACATGTGGGCCCAGCATATGGAGACGTGTGGACTGGACGCACGTCATCTGCAACTTGACAATTAAAGTTACAGTGCAGGAGACCCACACGGTGCATAGCGTAAGCGAAAGAAGTTAAGTCTGAATATATCTTGCCGTTTACTTTCTACCTACTTTGAGAAGTGCAATACCGATATTTTGCTACACCTATGTCTAGATTTTAGTCTAGGTTTTAGTATGATTTGTGCATCTCACAGTGAGACTGCAAGTAAATGATAGCAAAAGACCTGCGATACAATTACACACCAGATAAGTAAGCTACTATCAGATCTAGTTTAGTTTCTTGCATATGTGTATATACGCTCAAGAGTCTTAAAGCTTGCTCTTTGTCCCGTGGTTTTTGCATCATGAGATTTGAGCTCGCTGCTTGAGGGCTATCTTAATGATATTCTGTTAAGCATCACTGCCATCGTACTCCAAAGATTGAACAAATCAGGTCAAGCAGCGGAACACATTAGAAAGTTTCGACAAGCACGAAGCTTGTGGTGGCTTCAATTGAGCTAAGATTGTTTCTTATGCAGTTATCAAATACTGACACGCGCGGGTTTGCACGCTATGGACATTGCAAGAATCGTAAAAGATTGACATGCAACCTCCAGTCCCAATTGGAACAGGACAAGCCGCAAGGTATATGGTATTCAAAGTCACTGTCAGCTAAGCAAAAGACCGACGTACTTGCTTCTTTCAATAATGAGACTCGCAAAACATCCCGCTAGCACACTATCTCAATTTGTTCACAATCAGAAAAACTGACCCTGGTTTGTTACCTTTAGTCGTCAACACGCGTTGCAATCACTCCATTGCCGCATCCTTTTGCACTTCTTCACATGTATACGTTTAGTTTTAGCTGTATATCTTGCGTAGCTTGATCAGTGTCTTCACTCACAAGCAGTACAATGTTTTTTGAGGAAGGTCTGAGAACATCCCTACAAGAAAGTTGGCATGATCACAGGTGACTGCGTCTCCATGCAAGCATGTCAGCATAGGAAAGAAAGCAACGCGTGATTCTTGACCAAATCGTGGTCGATCGTCTTGGCTTTGCTCTTACTAGCCAAAACATTGCATTGTCACGCAGTGGTCTGCAAGAAATGGAGGCAGATCACAGCAATCAATACCACCAAAGTTCTGAAATGCCAAAATCATGGCAGACGGATGTGTTCCGTGTCACTTGTTGCAACGTTGATGGGTTTTGTTTTGTATGGAGAGAGATGAACAGAGTGTCTATTATACCGCTATGGTTGCCAAGAAGCCTGGAATGCCCTGCGTTAAGCGATCAATACCGTGGCTGACGTAGACCTGAAGGTTGTTAGCCACAATGTGCGTTTCTTGAGTTTGTACGTTGATGCATCTTGGCATCATACGATTTTATGGTATATCGGGAAGACCGCTTGCGTCGCTCATTGATCCAAAGTGAGCCAGTGCGGTGTATACCTCGCCTCAGTAAATGTCTCCGGGATAAATCTGTCGATCTGCTGAAAAGCGATGGGTTGTTAATAGGCCAAAGTTCTCTTAGTCACCGCTGACGTGGCCCTTAAAACTGACTTTGCGACCACAGAAGCGACGATGCGAGACGGCGCCACCGAAGAAAACGTTGTTTCATGTGCCATCTGGTCGATAGGCATGCCCGAGACATACCTCCACCTAATTTGTCTCCGGCGACTGCAAAAATTTGGAAGCGTTTGGGCGATGTGTTATCCTATCACTGTAGCAAAGCTACTTATGCACTAGATGTAGAGGAAGACAAGCTTAAAGAGCTTAAACGTCTTAGGGCTCTTAACTCTTCCATCTTCGCAAGCTCATGCCTTTTGGTTGTAAATAACCACGTCTCCAAGAGACTAGTATCAAAGATACAATTTCTTTTACACAGGAAGAGAACGCTCTAGCACTTGTGCTATTCAGAGCAGGTTTGAAACTGATTTATTTAATGTTTAACTTCTAGCACTAAATATAGAAGCACCTACTCTATACTTAGTGCTAGTCACTATCTGGCTCTGTAGCCTATTAATATGTAAACATGTAAAGTCTATAGTGAGTACCACCCTTCGTACCTTAGGTACGGTCACATCAACCACCACTGTACTCAAGGTACAGCCGCACCACGAAGGTGTGGCAGATGTGCATGTACAATACACACCTTTGTAAGCCTGTTACACTCTCTACGGCTAAACCTACGTTGCCATTTACAAGAGAAGGTCACAGAATGATTCTTTAAGCTCTACGAAAGCCTCGCCGGTTTATCATTGTTTTGTTGAGCGCTTTAATTCTACTGGCATGTCCAAGTTCAGCGACAACGGTCTCCACGTCTCAGAACGACCAAAGTACTGGTTTACATGGCAATGATGCCACGCAAAACTTGACAAACGAAGGGCACGTCGCCAGTCATTGAGGAAAACGACAACTCTGCAGAGAGAGCGTTTCAATCTTTCCATCACTATTGCAGAAGCCGAACCAATATCCGAGGCAGCAATAGCGAAGCAGAGCGTAACGCGCGTAAGAACCAGACGCGTCTCCAATATGGAACAGACGGCTAGAGACAAGTTTTTTAAACTCCTCAGGTTGCACAAAGTTGAACTCTTCAACAGTAAATCTTTTGGTCAATGGGAACGCATGGTGGACATACGATACAAGAACAACCGGAAGAAGGCAGAATCTGCAATGCTTTCCACTTTGACTCATCTGTATACAGATGAGGGCCTGCGACATATGCTGGTAACAGCACATTTGCAGGAGAAGTTGATCGTCTCGTTAAAAGAAGCGCAGCTAAAGTACTGGGCGAAATCTAACAAGAGGCCAGACCAAGTCTTCAAATGGCTCAAATTCAATAAAGACAACGCTTTGGAAGGCAGTTTACTGGACGAATGGGGATGTTTGTCGACAACATGTCTCGCAGAAAGGATATGTACAAGCTGTTGGTCAAGGAACTGGCGAAGCACTACGACGAGAGCGCACTGGGTGGCATCCTAAGAACTGCGGAAAAGAAAATTGGAACAGGCGGTCCAGGTTATCTTTTAGCGTACAAGAAGGAATTTGAGATAGCGCTAAGGGAGATGTGGCGTCATGATGGCAAATCGTTAGACGACATGGTATTATTGCTGAGCAAGAATGGAGACGCTTCATCTTCCACTCCGTCCTCGTGAACATGTGGACTGACTCTGTGAAATCGCAGCACCAAATTCTCATCGAGATAGTGGGGAAATAAATCCGTACTCTTATTTTAGAGTACAAAGGCCTTGCACTGGTAGATGCGCTTATGTAAGCAAAATAAGAGCGGCAAATATGGACATTACGAGGAAATGACGATGGAGGGTGCTGAAGCAGCGGTGCCAGGAGAAAGAGAACGCCGGGCGTTTCAAAATGGAGCAAGGATAAACAATAGGTTTTGACCACGTAGATTTTAGAGCCCATAGGGTCTCTTACACTACAACGAAAGACTCAAGTTGCACAGTTTTGCTTTCTTAAGTCATATATTGCTAGTAGATCTCTGCCATGATGTTCACGACAAGCGATGTCCATCCCGTGAACGGATGACACCGTTGTCCTTGACCGTACCGCTGTTCACTGTGAATGTCACCGCTGTACTGTTCCCACAGATACCCAGTCCGCTCGTACTCGCGATAAACATTGGCAATCACGTTCGCACGTAGCGCCGTATACGCCGATTGAAACTCCGCTTGGAACGGACTTCCCGTGCTCGGCTGCGCGTAGTGGTGTAGCGCATCCAAAGCCAGGTAGTTGGCGTTCATCCAGATAGCTCCACGCCAGTACGGGTTATCTCCAGGCGCATTTTCCTGCTCAAAAAATTGATCAAGCGTAGACAAAGAACGGAGTCCGAAAGGAGACCACAGCTGCGCAGGGTCTGTCACTTGCTTCAAAAGTGCAAGTAGCTTCGGCGAGTCGGGCGGCAATAACTTCAGTAAGAGCGGGAACACGCTGACGTAGCCGACGTGCTTTACGTGCTGTAGCTTAGTGGTGTGAGGGACAAATACAGGCAGCATCTGCAGCCCACCGCGACCATCACTCAAAGGAAACATGTAGTGGGGATGACTCACTGGGCACTTGACTTTGGTTTCAAGCTGCGTGATAGGAGCTGCCGCACCAATCACCTGACCCTGATCGTTACGACAACGCACAGCAACCTGGTACTCAATCACACCGTCCTCACTGTGTTCACCGACGTCAAAATACGACTGAGCCTCCTCATTCCAGTGATGTTCATCTAGTCCAGCAAAAAAGTGCGCGCTGTTTGCCTCAAAGCGCTGGACATCAGTATCCTGGCCAATAAAAGCTGCAAGCTTTGCCATAATATTGCTCGATCGAATCATCCACGAAAGCAAATCCACATGCATTTCATTCTCACTAGGAAATGATGCTCGTGGATAGTCATCCAGGCCGGAAGAAAGCGTGTTCGAAATAAGCTTGCCATCATTCTTGTGACGGCCGCGCCAGCGGAAGCTCGTGCTGTGTGGTCCGTACTGCGTCTTCAAGAACCAGTTGTACCAGTGCTTAAGAGATGGAAAGATAGTTTGCATAAATTCCTGCAATTCCTTGTCTGTGTCAGCATTCTGATGCCAATGCATCATTTTCTCCAAAGCCAAAAGCAACGTAGGAGGGTTGGCGTGTTCCACGTGCTGGACCAAAAACTCAGTCGGTACGCGACGACGAGCATCTTGGCCCAAAATCTGCTCGCGAGCGATATAGCCGTCCTCTTCCATGAGACTAAGCCAATGTGCAATAACATCGCGTGTAAGTCGATCGTCAAATGTTGACACGCCAATCTGGTGAAAACCTTCGTCCCACATGAAACCTCGAGGGAAGAAAGACCGCGATGGAACTGCTGTGAGTAGCGGCTTCATGGGCGACTCGACAACGTCGGGCTTTTCCGGATCATGTTGCACCAACGAAGTCCCGTAGAAATAGCCTGTGCCACCAATCAAATTACTGAAAGCTGCCTTTGCAAATGCTTTAAGACTCTCATTAAACGGCGTCTCTTCACCATTATTTGCCGGCCACGATTTCGTCGACAAACGAAAAGTCTTTTCAAACTTGTCCTCGAACTGCTGTGAGTACTCAACTAGCTTTCCAGTGATAAGATGATCAATGGGAGTTGTCACGATCTCATCTTTAATGGAAGACTTGTCTTCAATGGAAGACGCAACTTCATTGAACAATACATCCAGCACGGCATCTCCCTCTTTAAACGTGGCAACATCAACATCAATGATCGCCTGGACAACAATCAACGTGCTTCCGTCCTCGACATAGTTCTCCAGGTTGATTTCCTTGTCGTCCTTCAAGTTCTGATTTTCTTTGCCACCAGGGCGTTGAGCAAGAGACACCAGTCTTTCCTTCACATTGATCACATTGGTGTCTTTGAGTCCGACATAGTGCAGCTGCATGCTACGCACCGTCCGTCGAGTCTTCAATTGCACTTGCATCTGGAACGCTAAGGGCACCGTGGTCTTGTCACTCTCTGGACCTTCACTCACCAATACCATCTGCACACATTGCTCCTCGTCCTCTTGTCCACACGATACCTCCGTCGGCTCCACTGTCACTTGTACTAGATTCTGCAGCTTTTCTCGACAGCTTGAAGTCAATATCTCGTCTTCACAGCTCACATCAATATAAAAAAAGAGCGACATTTTGTTGTTCTTTGGTCCTTCTCTTTGTCTCAATATCTTGTCACGAGGTATTAAAGGAGCTACTAGTACTCGTACACCCCATCCTTGAACCTCCTCGTCCTTCTTCTCCTTCTCCTCTTTTTTTTCTTCCTCCTCCTCTTCCTCTTCTTCTTCTTCCTCTTCTTGTGTCTGAATAAATTGGACATAACTTGTATGCAGTTCAAGACGATTAAATTGATCTTCTATTGTCTCTCGTCCATATTTTCTTCCATCATGTTGAAGCCATCCATAACGTTGAAGCTGATCGTCCTGTTGACATTCATGTCTCAGTTGTGAGACATCTTCCATTTGTGATGTCCATAAAAGACCCACAGACACAAATTCAGGTTCTGAACGAGATCGAAGACCAAAATATAGTCCAGGACGATATGTACCCCATCGATACGAATTGGCTGAATTGGATCGCGTGAATTGATCCAATCGAAACATTTCAGTATTCCAATTGAAAGGACGAGAGGGAGAGGGAGAAGAAGAAGATGTAGACGAAGTAGAAGAGGAAGAAGACAAGTTGATGGATTGATAATATATTGTTATATACATGGAAATGGCCATCACTAGGAAGGAAGTTCCTACATAGATCAGTTTAAAACCCCATGGGCTTTTATCTACCTTTGTCACGTGATTCGTCATCAGACCAATAAAATTAAGTCAGTACTTGTCTATATTTTTTGTGATTTGGTCCCAATAATAACAATGACTATAACAAAACGGAATGATTCTGTCCAATAAGAACTGTCGTGTTTTTCGTTTCTACATTCCAATATCGACCTTGAACCGTTGACAAGCTCTTGTTCGCTTTCTAATTGGTTTAAATAATGTATTCTATTCCTGGGGTTTTAATCAATCTAATTCGTATCATTCATTACCAATCTTCCACGTGGCCAAAGTAACAAGAAGAAGAAGAAGAAGTAACAAGAAGAAGAAGAAGAAGAAGTAACAAGAAGAAGAAGAAGAAGAAGTAACAAGATATGAGACAAGGAATCCGACTCAAGCATCTGCTGATACTCTTGACGACCGTATTACTGCTGCTTGTAAACTGTTCAATTGTACATGGAAAAACTATCAAGCAGAAGAAAACGAGTCAGCAGCAGAAGACGGCATTGATTCCATTGAAAGGCAGTGAGAAAGTAGCAGAATTACAAAGTCGTGTACATGACGGTCTTGTCTCGTTTTCAAACCAACTGTTTGAACCTTTTGTTGTACGACCAGAACGTCCGTATCATTTACTACTTTTATTCACAACAAGTGAATCAAACTGTGCCGCTTGTAAGCAAGTAGCAATTGAATTTGAGCTCTTGGGTCAAAGTTATCAAGGTGCGAAACAAACAGTAAAAGCAGCACGAGACAACAACAATCATGATGATACAAATGATGATGTGGAGATCTTTTTTGGTCTTGTGAAGTTTGAAACGAATCAACAGGCGTTTGGTATGTTTGAAATGACGTCTGCACCTCACATTATGTACATTGGACCGGATCGATCTATTGATAGTGGAAACAAGATATCAAAGAAACAGATAATGGAACTAGCAAAGGTGTATGATATATTTACAAATGGAATGGAAGCTGAGAACATTGCCATGTTTGTGAAACATCAGACAGGATTTGAGATTACCATTCAACGGTCCAAGATTCATCTCTATGTGGTGGCAATACTGGTGCTTGTAGCAACAGTCTTGATGGCGAAATTAGTACTAGCTCATTTTGACGTTGTCTTGACCAAGCTACGACGCAAACAGCTCTGGATGACAGTCTCGCTACTGTTTTATGGTCTTTCCGTATCGGGTATGGTCTTTTGTATCATTCGCAATCCGCCGCTGTTTTATGTCGATCGCAAAGGCAATGCTCTCTACTTTCATCCGCAAGGAAGAGAGCAGTTTGTCTATGAAGGGCTCATCATTGGTGCTTTTGACGTTGGTGCAGCTTTGTTCTTGATTTTATTGTCGCAATGGGCAGTGTATGTACGTCATCCGGCCGTCCGTTATCTGGCCATCGTTGGCTGCGTACTGGGCTTTGTAGTCATGTACCGCCTGATGACGAATGCCTACAAAATGAAGAATCCATGGTACACTGGCTGGATGGGGATTTAGATGCAATCAAGCAACTACAGCAGTCAATTGCTGTCAAGAAAACATGCAAAAAGACCTGTGGAGAAGAAAACAACGAATTGGTCGGGTTCGTGACCAGTCCCGTGCAAGATTCTTTGATGGTTAGTCAAGCGAAAGAGGTCAGGTTTGTAAGCGAGCTCTTGCGCTCGGCAATACCTGTCGGCAATAGGTGGTGATCAATGCATCTATCGCCAATGTGGATGTATTGTATTCAACACGTTCATTTCGTTCGCTGCCGCTTGTATTGTCTTGTACTTCTTGCAGCATTGTAAATATTTCCTATCTGTGTTCACATTGTATGACAAGCTCACAAGTGTCTGTAGTTTTGTCCCTGTTTCTTGCCTGAGGGTCGAAAGCATGACAAAGTCATTCTCGTACTTGAATGCCACCATTGATCTTCGTCGACAATGACAGCGTTAGATTCTAGCATCATCAGAGCCTCCAGTTGTTTTCTTTGGTGAACATCGCCCGGCTGCAGCATTTACTTTCGTTGAGATATAGTTGGCGTGGTCCCAGACGGTGTCACCAAGAGCAACTTGATTCCAGAGATGATTCACCAAGCTTGCATTATGCAGGTCAGCGTTTGTGAGGAAGCAAAAGATTTTTGCACTCACGCCGTTCTCCAACGGAACAAGTTTTGATCCAAATAGCGGCAGGACAAAGACTCGTTCGATTCCGGGTGATGATGATCGAACTACAGCTGATAACGCAGCTTTTCCGACAGTTTTGTCGTCGATTCTGTCAGCACAATGGTGTTGCTGTAGCTCGCGCTCCTTTGGGGACATTAGAGTGTCGGTGGCTTTACTGTTGCCACCTCGCTGTTCGTCACATTGTCCTCTAATCGGTGACAATATTCCACGAGACTGCCTGGCACCACTTTGGCTCTTTACTGGAGGCGTAGATTCGGACGCGAACGGTACTGTTCTCACCCGGGCTCCAGTCACACCAGCATTTCTTGATGCAAGCAGCTTCGACTGCGACCACTCTGTTCGATCTCGTTTTCGTTTTGGAGAGGACTTGAATGGCGACGAGAAGTTCTCCCTCCAAGTTTCGCGGTCAATGCGCATCCGCTGTCTAACGCCCTGAAGAACTGGCGATACAAAGGTCTCGTCGAGCTCGTTTGCAATGCGCGTCGGGGCACCGCCCAATGCTGATTCCGCTATTGCAACGCCGTTTCCATGCGCTACGCACGATATCTGGTTCTTACACTCCTGTAGACATAAAGATGTTAGGAAGTGCAGCACAATTCAGCACGACAACAAGGACTACGTACGATGCATCGGCAGTTGTCGCCACAGCGCACTCCCGCCTGAAAGCATTCGCAGTACTTCTTCTGACAAGCTGACTTTTTGCAATGACATCCATGCTTGTGCATCTTTATGGTCGCTACGCCCGCACCTAAAATCCGCTGCTGCTGTTGAAAGCTCGTCTGACCAGGTGGCGACATTAAGGAGCCGATGGAAACATGGCTACTGCTAGATGTACCAACCGACAAGCGATGAGCATTCTCCGACGTCGATGTTACTGCGGCAGGTGTAGCGCCGATCTTTGGCTTGAACGCGTTTGGATTCTTTTCCAACCGCGATGCAATAGCTTGCTGCCGCACCGCCTCTGTCTTGGTAGTGTTGGCACAATCGTGACAATTGCAGCTTTCGTCGCAATATTCTCCAAGGCGAAAGCATTCGCAGTACAGTTTCAGACACTTGGACTTCTTGCAGTTGCACGAGGCCTTCTTGGACACCTGTGATGGCATCACCATGGATGGAGCACCTAGTACAGCTTTGGATGTTGACTGCAATGACGTCGTGAGCGAAGTGAACAATCCGACGTGTGCTGGTGTTTGCAGCACACTGCTTTCGAACGAAGCCATGTCATTTGTATCGCAAGCTATCATCGTTCGCGGTGTTAGCATGTTGTGCTTGCCTGGAGATGTTGTCACCTCTTGTTTGATTTGCTTCGTCGGTGTTGCTGCTAGTACTGCTGCCTCGCGAACATTCAAAACCGACTTTCGCATCTTCACTCCTACGATATTTGCAACCGAAGAGGGCATTGAGACACACTGCGACGTTTTTCGCTTTTTCTTGTTGCCGACAGGTGTGACTGGCGCTGGTACTGGGTCCGTTGCTGAAATTTGCCTGCGCGCTACGGGTGAATACGCAAGTGCCTCATCTGCAGCGACCTTAGTCGTTTGCTGGATCGCGCCTGACTTTTGAGGTGTGTGAGCCTTCAAGACGCTAGCTTGTGATGTTTGTCCGTTCCACGGATGTAGTGGGGATCGGGCAATAGTGCGCGGAGAGTCAGACGACTTTACCGGGGTTTGCAACAATTTACGCTGAACGTTGCTGGAAAACGATGTTTGTAGACGTTCTTCCTGACCTTTGCGTCGGCGAATGTACTTATTCCGTTTCCTGTACAATCCAATGTAAAAGCACAACACTTAGCTTATCCTGTCACAATGTAAGCGCTCAACCATCAAAAGCACAGCTCACTACAACGACCTTACAAGCTATTGTTGATGGTCTGAATCTTGCGCGTGGGGTGCGAGTCTAGCATAGATGAAAAGGATCCAAACGACGTGTGGAGCTTTATCTTCATGACGCTATGACTCCCCAGCTTTGACCGCTCGTCTTGTCCTGGTGTTGCGTTTGTGAAAGCTTGAATGTTTGGGAACGGCTCGGTGAAGAATCTTGGGGAAATTAATCTGGATGCAGATCCGTGAACGCAGATGCCGCCTCCAGCCAATGATTGAGTCGATGAATGTCTTCGCTTCCGGCTCGACTTCTTCTTTGGCGTCTGGATGATTGAAGTCGTGCCATTGTATGCGTGAGTTGTTGAGCTTAAGCCTCGATCATCACTTGGTTCCTGTTTGGGATATGGCGAAAGTCTAGTGCAACACTTTGTTAGAAGCAGAACTGATTAGAGCTTGGTAGTCGTTCGACGTACGGTCTTGGCAGGTCGTAAGAGAGCGGTACAAGCGGTGAAAGTTTCGCTGGCATCAGGATGTCCTCGAACTCGTCAGCGGGCATGAGTGGGGATAGCAAACTTACAAACGAAAAAAACGAGTCATTCTCGCTTGAACTAGTCATCAATTCGCTGGGAACACATTGGACATCATCGGCATCGAGAATCAAGGCAGAAGTGTATGCCTTACTACTGGTTCTAGCAGGTGTTTTTGGAACGTCCCTAGCGATCTCTCGCTCCTTGACATCCTTCGTTCGATCAACGACGCCCTTTTGGCAACAAGAGAGCAGCTGTTGTTTTGCTGACAGCGTTGGAGTGCGCGGAGGTGCGGCCACAGTTGATTCCTTTCTCAGTCGAGCCCTCGTAGACATAACGTTCTCGCGTGGATTGCCCTGTTTTAGTTCGATATCGACAAGCGTCGCAGCAGCCACCATTCCATCCTCGCTCGTAGTTGGTCTGGTCTTCTTCTCTTCCTGCTGACAAAGCAAGTCGATGGTATCCGACAACCTTTTCGGCGTTGCCAGCCGTATGGGCGTAAGTTCTCGGCACGGCGGTGTCTTCAAAGTCTGAATACTCGTTCTCAAGGGAGACTTAAAGAACCGGGACGGAGAACAGAGCGCAGAAGACCCACATGACGACAAAGAGGGTGACGCTAACGGCCCTGACATCAGTCTCGTGTCGAATGAACGAACAAAGTCTCGGCAATGAGGTGAAGACATTGGCACTGAGAAATCCGAGTCGGTGTTCATCTGCAACAAGTCAAAGTTGCTGTCGTGGGGTGACACGCTGCTAAAATTGACATTATACTCTTCATCGTCTCTTCGTATGCTCTGCGCTTTTTCCTGCTCCATCTCTACGTCCTTCTCCTGCTCTGGCTCAACTGCATCAGTCTGTAAATGCTGCTTGTCCTCTGCAGCGTTTCTGACCTTTTTCTCGTCCTTGAAGGCGCTTTTTGCTGCACTTTCCTGGCAATTCCATATCTGAGATTTAATCCGACAGCTTACAAGTGTCTCTTGGCAATCTGCATCCTGTGTGTCAGGCTGTAGAGTCACTGCATCAGCTTGTTTCGAGCTGGACATGCTCATATGTTGCCTTACCTCAACTAGCACAGGCTAAAGCGTTGTCTACAGAGCTGCAGATATGGAGCCGACAGAAGTGAGCGTTTACGTATTGTCTTTTTTCTATCACTTGATATGCTAGAGAGCAAGCTAGAGGCACTACTCGAGAGAGTAATAGCCGAGATTGCAACGTTATGAGGAGACGAGTTAATCTGGAGCAAGCTTTGAAATATGGCGCGTAAGCATTGCAAAATAACGCGGGAAAAGGACAGGATCGATTTGTGACCAATCAGAGATCGACAGATATTGGAATTCCACCACTAAGATAAACGATACCTTCTCAAAGTCGTGGTAACAAGTATTCTAAACTAGTCCAGTCAAGTCGTAGAACTATTATATATGGTCATCCATCGTTCGTCGAGGACTAAGGAACAAAGGATATAGTACGAGATCTGAAGCTCAAACGTAACTGACTGACCCCACTCCCAACCTCCTTTCATAATTCGGTCAGGAAGGATCGCGATCGGATCCAAAAACTTTGGGCTGAAAGAGAAATAGCAGAAGTGTTGGAGCTGCTGGAGCTGCTGATGCTGCTGAGATGCACGTCAGGTATCTTCATCTAAGGAGTCAGATATGGACCTGCACAGGGATCGATACCCTGCTTCTCCAGGGGATGTGTATGATTGTACAGCAAAAAGAGACAGGAGAGTTCACCTGAAAACTAATTCAGCTAGACTGCAATGAGCATAAGTTCTAACATCCAATGCTTACTATTACGGGGATGATGGGGAATGATTACGGTGATGACCGGAAAGTACCGATGCAACACTATCCGCTAGAGGCTTCGACGTGGCTTTAGTTTGCAAAACAAACATACGCCGTAACCGATAAGTTGCAATATTGCATTCGTTGCAACTTTCAGCAACACAGCAGGAAATAATAACTGGCAAACTTGGTTAGTTTCGGAAATGACTAACTTAGCACTACCCGAAACGTTTGTCTTACTTGTTCTTTTTCTACACACGTATACGCATACTTAGTACCTCCATCATGCGCCTCCGATATACCCCGGTTCTGTGTCGTCGACTTTACGCAATGGGAATTTTGCTCAAGCGTGTTAATACTAGCACCGGGAATCGCGGCTTGAACCGTGTTCTTCGCGTGATGCTTTTGTAATCATTAATATTACGCGACATCATCGCAACTTGTTTATGTGGTGGAGTGGGTTCTCAAAATTGCGTAATGAGACCCCAAGCCATTCACTGTGCCTGACTGCCGAATGTCGGAGAGGGTACCCCGATGCCGCGTATAGTTCTTCTCTCACCTTGTGGACCGGCGGGTTGCACTCTTCGGAGGACTTGGTTGAGATGTGATGCCGGCCTTGAGAGAGGTCGACCTTGTGGTGCCTCGAGTGGGTTTACTTCACTCGGTAGGCGGATAGGTGGTCACTCGGTTTACTGGGTCGATGGTGGACTTATAACCAAATCCTTCAGGGGAGATACTCAACCCTGGCCTTTTCCTTGATATCTCAGGCGTGTTAACCCCACCTGGCCTTTACCTGCTCCCGGACCACTAGGGTAGGGAGACCGCTTCCGATAGCAGACTGAGTTGGGGGGTTGCTACTCGGACGAACACACAGGCCAAATGTATCCTGGGGTTCTATTCGCACTTTAAGTATTACCTCACAACTGTCTTCGACGCGGGGCCAAAATGTATCCCTTCCCGGAACAGGTGGGTAGACTTAGTAGGTACCTTGGAAGCCCGACGGAGATGTGCTATATGGATCGCAAATTGAGAAGTATTTAATATGGTCCTATCTCTTAACTTCTTAGCTCTATCCTTACCCTAAGACCTGATTCTTGATTCTGCTTGCCGAGGGGAGGGGCGAGGGGCCTAGGGGCCGGGTGACCGAGGGGCAAGGGGCCAGGGTAAACCTCGAAAGACCGAGGTTTACCAACGAAAGGCCAGGGTCTACCAACGAGGTACCAGGGCCAACCTCGAAAAGACTGCCTGCCCTTGACGTTGACCCAGAGGCTCAGATTCTCTCACAAACACCGATCGACACTCCTCTTCAGGTGCCCGGGCTAAGTAAGTTTACCGAGGTTCCTTATGAGGTCGTAGGTGGTGAGGGCTCCCCAGACGTGGATTACCCTCAATCGACCTCTAGCTCCTCTGCTGTGGTGGAATCCGTGGGGACGGTCGCCTATGTCTCGCCCGTTCTTCCGTCGAGTGCTCCTCTGGATACGATGGGCGGTCCTGTAGACACTTCTCAGGTGCACGCGATCTTCAAGACCGTCTAGATTTATTAAGCCGAAGACTTGAGGCGTGCGAAGGTCGACCTACGGCCGTCCTCACCCTCGACGCCTACTGGATCGCCCAGAGTCAGCTCCTCAAAAGATAGCTGCAAGACACTCACCGCCTTGTGGTCCAGTTTCGCGAAGAACTCCAGCAAGAGAGATCGCTGGCGGAGCATTTGCGGTGGCGAATGGACTACCTCTAGAGCCGCTTTACTCTTATGGTGGCCGAGTTGGGGCACGAGGATTGCCGCACGAGTCCCTTTCACGATCTCGCGGCTCCTCCCGTGACTGCTCCCGCAGTACCTCTCACCGCGGTGACGGTAAAACGACCTCGGCGTTCTTTGGCCAAGGCGACCACTAAGGTCTCTAAGGCCGCCAAGGCCAGCACCTCCAGTACTCCCGCCTCGTCGGCGTCCATGTCGAGGACCCCAGGTCTACTAACGAGGGACCGGGTTCCACCACGAAAGACCGGGGTCTACTTTGAAAGACCAAGGTCTTGTAACGAGGGACCGGGGTCCACCACGAAAGACCGGGGTCTAAAACCACGAAGGACCAAGGTCTACCAACGAGGGACCAGGGTATACCTCGAAAAGACCGGGGTCTTTCAATGATGGATTAAAGTAAACCTTGGAAGACCAAGGTCTACTACCGAGGGACCGAGGTCTACCCACTATAGACTTTGGTCGACCATCCGGGACTCTCGGCTTCTACCTCTATTCCTCATGATTTTGTATCACTTCGAAACGATTCCTCTTGTCTCCTTGCGTTCGAAATCCCAAAGTAAGGCTCCACAATACAAATCCATTTCATCCACCCACGAGGGGTCTCCATACCCTTTCCATCGGACGAGAAGCTCTCGTTGTTGTCTCCCGAAACGTGCTTTCTTTCCAGTGCGGGCTTCCAAGATTTCCTCGACCTTGTACTCTCCTCTCCTAGCTCTCTTGCCTAACTGTCCTCCGGTAACAGGCATTCATCGAAGTCGACCCGATCTATTCCGTTCGTCTCTAAAACGCGGCACTCGGTCGTTTTGGGAACTCTCTAACCCTCTTGAGTTTGGATAGATGTACCACAGGGAATAGCCTGTACTCCGTATCTCTAGTTTCCAAGCGCGCTACGTGTTCTCCCACCAACTTTAGAGCTCGAAATGGTACATGCCAGAGGTGGGCCAATTTCTTGCGTACCCCTCTTTCACCCGGTCCAGATAGAGTCACACTTGAGTTCCCGGCTGAATCTTGTGGTCGACCACCTCTTCATTATGGGCTCGGATCCGAGCTTGAATGGCCGCTCGTATGTTCTCATTCACCTGGGCTCTCGCCCGCTATAGTGTTGCTGAATGTGATATCTCCATCTGCGTGGCCCAGATCCCCGACGTAGCGTATTTACCACAGGCAAGGTAGCCTCGAGGGTAGTCCTAGTATCCCAACCATGGACCAGATAGAACGGTGTCTCCTCCCGGACTCGGTCTTGCGCGGTGTTCATCGCAAACGTTAGTCGTTCTGCATACTCGTCCCAATCCTGCTGTCCGACATCAGAGACATACATTTTTTGATGGACCTATTCAGAGTCTAAACCATTCTCTCCGCGGTCCCATTTGCCTGAGGTCGATAGGCCATCGTCGCCTGTTGACGCTGGCCCACCATGCGACCAAACGCCCGAAAGAAATCCGACATAAATCCTAGTTCTCGATCGTGGCGGATGGCCTCGCTAGCACCAAAACGGCAAAAACGCATTCTTCGTACCCTCCAGCTACCGCCTGGACCGTTCGTGACGCACTATCCTTGGCCATCACGTACCCCGTGAACAGGTCGACCCAAATTAGTAACTCGGTATTTCCTCCATGCGACCTGAGCAGAGAGGGAATATGATCCATCGCTATAATCTGGAAAGGATATGTCGCTTCGGTATTTCCTGGAGTCTTGCCGAGCAGAGTAGGTTCTCCTTTCCCTGTTTTGTAATCCACACATGTCCCCACATACCGCTGCACACTTCGGAATGAACCTCTCCAATGGCAGTACCGTCGGATTTGGTGATAGGTACGTCCAAACGTCCAACCCCTTGGTGACCTCCTTCCAGACTGGTGTGGAAACGATGCAGGACGTCAGCTTGGAGACTTTTGGGTATCACTAGTCTAGCCGTTACTTCTCGGTCGTCTCCCTCGACCCTCTGAACGGGACAATACAATAGTAGCCCCTCTTCACTTATCTCGTAATCCCTGGCCATCTTACTGCACGAGTGGGCGGTCTCCGTGGATAGGTCAACCAATCTCCCTTCAAGTAGGCCTTCAGATCTTGCACCCAGTGTCTTCTTGCTCTTGGGCCTCCCTGATTCGATCTGTCCGGGGTCGTTGTATTACGCCCTCTTGCCGGATTTCCCCTGACATCTTGATTGGAGGTCGAGACCGAGCAATCGCAAGCACCTTGGCCGAAGGGCTTTTGTCCTTGGAAACTAGTAGCTCTGGCAATCGATTAATTCCTTCCGAATTCGGCCATTTCCCTTCCGGTATCGACTTCATACCTTCCTTCTGACGCAGAGCTGTGCTGGCCAAGTGGTCGGCGCTCTGATCCCAATCACGTCTTACGTGCACGATTCCTTGGGTGGGCCATGACAGCAGCTTATTTAAGGCTATTGCTCGTAATGGAAACAATCCTGCAGCCTTACACTCGATCTCTCCCCGCATTTGTCGTACCACTAAGTTGGAACCTCCACAGATAACCAGTCGCCGTCGTTCTA